AATATACAGAAACTACGGGGACATTAACTAAGGAAACTATTGGCCAGGGGATCCAGGAACTCTCCTACCAGGCGCAGGCACGTTTTGTGGTCACCGTTTCGAAACGAAACGAAAGTAGGGGAATTTATTGCATTGACATACTAAGACTACTAAGACGCTTCTATGTTGTTATCGAAATGGGCCAAATGCGCTCAACTGTTAAAATTGTATGTGCCACACACAGTTAGGTGGATAAAAAGGATGGTTTTATATGGGTTAGTCGTACACGAAGCGGGATTATTGATTTTGATCTTCCTTGGGGTGATGACTACATTAATTTAAATTTAAATGTTCCGTGAAATTAAATCAATGTAACTATATTAATTTAAATGTTATTATTATTTCTTTTCCCATCGAAATATTTCAAGCATTTAATACAAATTAAAGTAAACCATTTTAGACCATCTCAAACCAAAGCACATATTTATTTTGTTAAGATTCCAAAACAATAAATAAAACTACCAACTTCCCACATTGCATTTTATCTACAAAATAAAATTTTAAAACACAAAACATTCCTCCAAAACAACATCGATACTAATTGCTCACTCTACTCTAGACTTAAATGGGCGTAACAGAAATACCATTATTGTGCACTTTGAAACCATCATCTGTGCTTACTCACAATTGGCTAACAAAATACCGTTTCGTTGTTGGTTGTTAAGCCGAAATGCCAAAACACAAAAGCACACCAAAAATCGACAGAATGCATTGCAACAACTTAAGCCTCTGGCAGCCCCCAAACAATACACAAATCCCAGACTCTGGCTTAAATACCATACAAATTTTGCTGCAAATTTCGGGCTCCCGTTATCGAAATGACCCATTGACTGTTGTGCACTTTGGCCAACAACCATATACATTTACAGATATGCTCATACATATATGCACTCGGGCACATACAGATATCGCTCTAATGAAACGCAATATCTTCGAGACAATGCTAATTGCCTAGGATGCAAACAGAAGCTGCATTGAACGGAGCAAATGCAACCGAATTATCGGACGAAACTCGGCACTGCTTTGTGCACAGAGAGAGAAAAATGTTATGGTTATAATTCTCTTTTAATTTTTATAAATTAAATTCAATACTTAATCTTTCTTTTTAATATTTCTTAATCTCTTATTAATACTTTTAATTCAAAGAAATCCTTTTGTTTTTCTCTGTGCTAATGCGGTTCTCAGCTAGAATGCTTGTGTGCGAATATTTGTGCAGAAGCACATTCATTCCTCTCTGTACATTTCGTTTACTTGGCCAAAAGCCAATTTTCAGCCAAAACGCATGCCAAATTTGCCAAAAATGAAGCGAAACGAAATAGGAGAAAATAGCTAAATATTTTATGATATCGATGAGGCAGGCAGTTCTGCACAGAAGCGGCCCTTTCCTCCTCGACCACTGCGAAAAGTAGTTCAGCAATGCCAGCTAAGCGCACACTGACAGCTCCATTCAAATGTGTTTTGAATACCCTAAAGTTTGATTAAGAGACTGAATTGTGGTATTATAGAAGATTTAGTGAAATAAAATAAAATGTATAAATTAAAAATATTATGATATATATATAAATTCTGAATATTTACCTTGTTTTATTATGTTCTAAGATATTCTTTTTTGCAAGTTAATACTAGGAACTCTGGGAAAATATAAATAATATAAAAAAACATTTAAATTCCAAGGCTTGAAATTGTATATTTCATTTCTCTACATAAGCCTAGTATTTTTTTATATTTTTTTAAATATAAATTAGAGCAATTCTTGTGCTTAGTTGCTCTAAAGGGTATTTAGCTCTACCTGAAACCCTAACAACCCTACTGTTTGCCGTTTATTGTGGCCATTTATGGTTTGTTTTGGTGAAATATGAGCACAGTTTGCCACGGAAAGGGGATAACTTGGCTATGGCTTTGGCCCAACCCCCCAGGGCCAATCAATTTCCGCTGTCAGCCTAAAAGTATGCAGACCCGCAACCGAAAGCTTTGAGAGAATAACAAGAACTTGAACTGGGTGGGACTCACCTGCAGTTGCAACTTCAGAGGAGGTGGCACGCCCACCTGCCCCCCTGTTAATCCCCTGTTCCGCTCGATTCAGGGACTCGTTGCCAGAACGTTCCTTGCCACGCCAAACACTGACGCCACAACACTCGGCGCAGCAGCAAAAGACAAAGCCCAGGATGAGTAGAATCCAGGCGGCGACCATCAGGACAATGGTCGAGGTGGAGCGATAGCTATAGTTCTCCTCGCCAATAAACACCAGAACGTTGTCCGCGGTGAGATTGGCATGAGTGGCCGTTCCATTGGCGTGGAAATCCAGCAAACCGGCCTCCAAGGTCGGTCCGTAGAAGCCGTCGACATTGGCCAGAGCCGCGTAGCTGCTGCCCACCGAATGCAGATACGGTTGCTGCACTTTGGTCAGATGCAGCAGCGTGTAATTAGACATGATTGAGTCAATCACTCAGGCTCAGTCAATCAGTTGTTCACTCAATCAATCAGACACTCTTTAGCCCGAATTCGGCTTGAAATCGAATGAATTGAACCGCCAAAACGCGACCGTTTCTGGCTGCCGAACAAATTGAACTGTTCCTACTACGTTTTATCTATTTTCCATATGCACGAACAAGTATTATTTGTATTATTTCTTCGGTTTTCGAATCTCGGTTTGGTGTGTGCGATACAGCTGACGACAATCTTCGTTATCACATTGTGTATTTAGGCAGATACTAGATCGAGCCACACAGAATCTTGTCTCTTGTTTAAACAATATTGTACTCGCATTAACGCCTGCCTAGCTGCCTGCCTGCCTGCCAGTTCATATTTTCGCTCTATTTTTTTTTGTGAGCCAGAAAGGCCTGTTTCGGCGTCTGGCTCTCGCGGATTTTTGACCGAGTTTTGTTTACCAGCGAGAGGTAATGCTATTATAGTGGCTATATATCGATTCTCTCGACCGATCTCTGATCTTGTGGTGGGTTCTCTTGGGGTCTGTGGTGAAGCTCTACGCGGGAGAAAAATTTAGAGCTTTCGGTTGGTTTTGGAAATTAATTATTGATTAAAAAGCTTGGCATATCATGCATAATTTAATTCTCTATTTTTAATTAAAATTATATTTATTAATCAGGTTTCCTATTTATATTTAAACAAGGAAGAAAGCTATCTTAGGCAAGTTGAATTTCGTTTTACATTAAATTAGAAATCTATCATAATTAAGCCCAAAATTCATTAATTTCAATTTGGAAAGGTGTTTTGTGTTACCTTTTTTAGGTTTACAAATCTATATTTAGTTTTAAATAGCATTAAATCTAAGTTACAAGACTAAAACCTTAATATTTATGAATAACTAAGCCTTGCTAAAGTATTCCAACGTTCGATGTTAAACGTTTTCTTTTGAGTTTTTATAAAAACGCTCTGTAAATAAAATATAAATACCTATTTATTTATTCAAAAATGCTGTTTAAATAGCAGAATGCGTGCAAATGAGAAATGCAATAAAATGTTTATAGGCCAGACGGCAGTATTATAATATAATTAAGAGCTGTAAGATATACCAAGACGAATGATATGGAAGTTTCTATTTATTTTGTTATAATAAACCTGCTTCTGTTACTGGGTAAGCTCTAAATAAATATTATAATAAAATATTTCAATTAAATAATAAAATATTTCTACAGACTTTGGACAAACTAAGCCTTTTCAAGATGAAGAACTCGAAGATCATTTATATAGGCCTGATCTGAACTATAATGAAGACTATGAAGAGGTTACCTTCTCATTTAATGATCATGTGACGTTTGGCAACATTGATTTAGATTCCGATCCTGAGGACAAAACATTATCTGACATGGATATTATTCATTTGGATAATCAGTTAACTACGGAAAATGAGTTATTTGAGGATAATGATAGTAATGATGAGCGAAAAACATCGCGAATGCTGAATGTCCTGAGTCGGGGCTTGCTTAAAATGATACGAAAACCAGAACCAGATTTTGATTACGAAATAGAAGATAGAATTGTGCGTTATGCTATGAACAATATGCGTGAAGAAATTTAAATTATAGTATCTAATTTATTCTTGAGCTTAATTTATAAATTAAATAAAAATACCAGCTCTTTAATTTCAATGCTCTCTCTTTTATTTTTATAAATTCATCAAAATATGCTCGTAAAATATAACGAAATTGGTTAAATAAAGGCAGTTTAAGACCTGATGCGCTGCATGCCAGCGAGCTCAGCAATGTCGCCACAGTTCATGCGGCGATTCCATCCTAAAATATTAATAATTATAAAATAATCCTTAATATATTTTTAAATAAAATGATTATTATTTCAAACTTACCCTGACAATTCAACCTGGTGAGCTCGCAACGTCCTACATCTCTCCAGCGCCAAGTCCTGCGTGTCCTGCTCCTGCACTCCCTGTTCAAGGTGGGCATCCTGCGATCGTTGTCATTATTTAGCTGCCTCACACAGGTCTCACACCTCCTGGCTAGTTCATCGCAGTCCCGGTCTTGGCCAGCGACCAGAGTCAGGCAAAGGACTGTGGATAAAAATATATTTTTTAATATTTAAAGGACACACTATCCTTTGAGTACTCACCAGCAAACAGGGATAGAATAGCTTTAAGATGCATTATTTTAGCTTGTTGGCTCTGGTAGAGAACTTCTCAGATGGCTAACTTTAGCTGATTCCAATCCGATTTTATAGAAACACCCAGCACTACGTGGAGCAAGTTCAACAGATGTTTCAAAACAATATATAAAAGTTATACAATCTGGGAATAAAAGAAACTTTTTAAAACCAGGAAATGTATGTTAAATAGGTCGTCAATTCACTATTGTTTTTACTTTCGGAATATAAAGAAATTAAGTTTTATATATGATAACAATGCCTTTCCGCAAACCTCTTTCCACTTTATAAAGGCCAAGACTAGTGCCTGTTTTCAGCACAAACCTTAATCGTAGAAACCAACCAAGATGTCCAAGATTGTTTTGCTTTTTGGTAAGGATATTAAACATCCTTTAGGTTATACTTTTCCTAATTGAATCTTAATATTTTAGCCATCGTTGTCCTGGTTTGCGTGTCTGTTGAGGCTCAAACTCGCAGACCCATTAATCGACAGATTTGCCAGCGTCAAGATGAGAGATGTCTCCGTAATGAGCCCAGAAATGGACGCAACAACGATATTTCGGAGATCTTCAATCAATGGTGTCGGGGAACTAACCCAAGGTGGCGCAATATTTCCCGTTGCGAACTCTCCCGGGCCACTTGTCGTTGTAAGTAATTATTTTTTATTAATTTGTATAATTTTACTTAATCTTTTTTTTTCGTCCAGTGACCCTTGAGAACTGTGCCCTCTTGTCCTGTGATAATGTAAGGCAAGCTCTGCGGGAGGAACGCACTACTACTACTAGGCGTCCAGAACCCAGCGAGGAATAGAAAAGATCTTACTAAATATTGATTTAAAACCTATGTATGCCTAAAAATTGATAATAAAAAAACTTAATGCTCTATAAAAGATTTGTAGCAATTTTTTAAATAACTCTTTAACATAGAATCTTTTTGTAGAGGCTCTAAGTGCAATCTATTAATATCAGAATAAATGCTAAGTAAGGATAAGCTACGGTAGCTGACGAAGACCTGTCTAAATTCCTCTAAGAGACTATCAAACGTATTTTTTTTTATATAAAACTATATATTTTTTTAAATATTAAACTAATGTATTTCGTCGGCTGTAATATACTGTTTTGATATTCATTTTTAAATAAGCAATATTTAAAAGCTGCTTAAAAAATGCTTAGTCAATTTATTTCTTAAAATTTTTGTGCTTAGCTATAGGGTATTCCCGAAAACTATTGTTCAAATATTAATAAGAAAACAATATGAATTTGTATTCTTATATTGCACTTTTAGAGTTATATAAATTAAAATAAAATAGTACTTTTAATGAGCCTAAAAAATATCTAGTTCTTTCCTAATGTAAACAAATTTTATTGAAGTTTTAAATTAATAAATTAATTTCCATATCATTATTGATATTTAGATATTATTTTTGTAAGACTGCCTTGTAAAATTGAGGTGTAAATAAAGTATCAAATTTGCACTTTAATGCTCTATAAGTTTTTATTTACTCGTTTTTTAATAACATGATGAGAAATCAAGTCCTAACGCGCTGCATATTAGCGAGCTCTGCAACATCTTGACAGTTCATGCGACGATTGATGCCTGTGAAAAAATCATGTTTAAAAATTGATAGATATTTAAGTTAAAAAAATCTTATTCAAATGTTACCCATGCAATTAAGTTTGGTGAGTTCACAACGGCCAACATTTCGCCAGCGCCAGGTTCGTCGGAGTTTTTCTCTGCATTCGTTATTGAAAACGGGCATCCTGGTGTCATTTATGTTATTGAGAGTCCTTATACACAGCTCACATCTACGCTGCAATTCATCGCAGTCCCGGTCTTGGCCAGCAACCAGGGTGACACAAAGGACTTCAAGGCAAAGATATAATTAGGTTCTCTATGTCATGGATTAATTAAATATAAAACTTACCAGCAAAAAGGGTTACGATAGCTTTGATATGCATTATTTTAAAGGCTCTGGATGAGAACTAAAAAGTCCCTGCCCTACCGGTCTTTATATAATCACCTATCCCTAGATGGAGTGGGTTTAACAGATGTTTTTAAAAATATAAAGACAATAATATTATAATAATGAAATAAAAGCCATTTAAAAATCACTTAAAAACCAGGAAATGTTTTATAAAATAGTCCTCTTTTTAACTATAATGAATAGAGTGCTTTGTGTATTTCCTGAACATTATAAAGACACGTTTTAAAATAAAACTAAAGGTTTTTTCCATCAGGTGTCTTGATTCTTTATAAAAGCCCAGGTATTTGCACGTTTTCAGCTCAGAAGTTGAATCTAAATCAAAAAGATGTCCAAACTTGCTGTGCTTTTTGGTAAGAATCTTAAGAAATATTACTTTCCTTGTTGTGTGTTAATTTTTTTATATTTATTTTTAGCCCTTGTTTGCCTTTTGGCAGCAGTTCAGGCCCAAACCCGTGAGCCAACTCCCCGTGAAATTTGCCAGACTGTCAATGAAAGATGTCTGAGTCGTGTTCCTGTTCACGGCAACCGATCTGAAGTTACGGATATTCTGAATGGACGTTGTCGCCGCCGCCATCGAGGTTGGCGTAATATCACCCGTTGCGAACTGGCCAGGGCCACGTGTCAATGTAAGTGTTTAATGTTTCTTAAAAATTATCTCAGTTTTCAAATTATAATATTCAATTATTTCATAGTGACTATCGAGCGCTGTGCAACCCTAAGCTGCGTGAATATAAGGGAAGCCCTAGCCGGTAATCGTGCCACTACCACAAGACGTACTCCTGCATCTACAACTACAAGGCGACCTTCGACTTAGATTAAGGACTGACCCAACGAAAGTATATACCCATTGACCCAGTTTTATTCGAGAAAAATAAAAACATCAATGCTCTCTATATATTTTGAAATTTAATACTTGTTGTTGTTGAATTTCTTTTACTTAAAAGAATAATTTTTGGACATCTGCGTATATATTTATATTTATAAAATTTTGTCAAGTTTAATCATCTCATACATACATTTAGCTACGCATTTAATATGCATTTTTAATGTTTGAACAATTGTTAAGCTTTTTTGAAATGAATACGAAAAGTGATAGCACAACTCGCTTAACGTTTATTCGCAAAATATACCTGAACCAAGTATGATACCTATAAGCTCTGCTAAGCTAAACAAAAAACTGGCTAACCACACTCGAAAGAGATCTCTATTCAATGAAAGTGAGTGAGTTTTAATTAAAGGAATTAAAAGTGAAAAAACTTGTATTTAATTCTTTGTTAAAGGTAATTTCAACAAGAGAAGCTGCGTTTGCCTTTCGATTGGAGTGGTTTTCGGACTTTGCCTGGCGGGAATATTCTTTTATGCTTCGTTGCCAAATGAGGAATACGGGAGTAACTCTAAAAATGTAATAAAAATTATGGGACTAGAAGGGTTACAGAATAAAACTCAGAATGAAAGTTTGAGTCACATGGATTTGGCTCAGAAAACTGCACAGTCTACGTTTCCTACCACAACTGTAAGTTTAATCAATACAGATCGAGTAATTCCAGAGGATAATGGTGGAAGTAATGAAGCTGAATAGTTGTAGTTTTATATATTTTTAAAAGTTTAATATTATATTTTAATAAAAATAGTAAAATTATTTATTTATTCTTATTTAGACCTTGCTTTCTTTAAGTTTAAGGATCTATATTGCTTTATATTTTATTATATTATATATTATTGTATTTTATTCATATAAAATAATACATTTCATAAATAAAACCGGCAAAGCTGCTCAAACAGAGGCCCCACTCCCTTCCAATAAGAGCGAAGTAACTTCGTTCATAAGCTTCGTGATTTAAAAACATAAAAAATAGTTTTGTTTGGGGCTCTTTTCATTAGAATGTTTAAAAAAAAACAACTTTTTCTAGAGAGCATTGAAATTATAGTTTTTTATTTAAGCAGGTTAAGATATTTGTTGTTTATGAGATCGAAATCGTTTTAGAATGATTTAATTCTCCGGCTCACGTGGAGGGCGTCCAGACCTTCTTGTTGTGGGAGTTCTACGAGTAGTAGTTCGTCTAGACCTTCTTGTTGTGGGAGTTCTACGAGTTGTAGTTCGTCCAGACCTTCTTGTTGTGGGAGTTCTACGAGTAGTAGTTCGTCTAGACCTTCTTGTTGTGGGAGTTCTACGAGTTGTAGTTCGTCCAGACCTTCTTGTTGTGGGAGTTCTACGAGTAGTAGTCCTTCCCGACCTTCTAGTGGTTGGAGTCCTTCGAGTAGTAGTGCGTCCAGGCCTTCTAGTAGTGCGAGGTCGAGAGGTTCTAGGTGGTGGGTTACGGCGGGTCGAGGTATCCGGTTCGGGATTCTCCACAGGGTCCGTAGGGCTACGACGAGTGGTTGTACGGCCGCCACCACCACCACCACCACCACCTCCAAGGGTCCTCCTCACATTTGCGCAGGTCAGAGTGGAGCACCTGACAAGGGTCACTGAAATGTACATATTTTTTAAAATTACGAATTTTAATAAGTATTTCTACTCACATTGACAATTGGCCTGAGCTAGTTCACAACGTGTGACATTTCGCCAGTTTCGGTTTGTGGTTCGGCAATGATCATTAAAGATGGTGGTGACCTCATTAGTCCTTCCATTGAGATTCTCGCGGCTCAGGCATCTTCTATTCTGTCGCCGGCAAACATCGCGAAGATCTGGTTCTGGGGTTTGAGCCTGGACACTCACACAAAAACCCAGGATCAAAAGTGCTAAGAAAATTAAGGATTTTTTAGAAAATATATGTCCTTTAAAAGGTTGTCTCATAGCCTTACCCAAACCCACAGTAAATTTCATCATCTTGCTGTGGCTTACCGAAACCTCGGCTAAAATCTGTACTCAAAATTAGCGCAAACTTCAGCTTTTATAATAATCTAGCCATAATTTTTTATAACCCGGAAGGTACTATTTTTAATACCTTAAAAGATGACCCAATTAGTGGTAAGTATTGATTGAAAATATTACTTTAAAACCAATGAAAGGCTTTTGTATGTATAATAATAACTTTAAGCTATTGTTTCAATAAAAACAGCTGCCTTGGAGTCGGTAATCTTCCATAACCTAAATACTTAAACATAATTCTTAAACCATGTCTCACTTTAAAAGTTTAAATTTTACGGCGCCTAAGGCTTTAGGTTCTGATTTAATGACTTACAAGTGCGGCTTCCGTTTCCAGAAGCCCCAAAATCCAGTTCACAAATTAGAAGCCGCAGTAACCAGCCAAAACAAACCGCAGTAGCAGCAGTAGCAGCAGCAGCAGCTGTAGGGAGCCCCTCCTGTTGGTCCTTTCAAATAAAGCCGCAGCCAAAACACAAAAACCAAAGCGTCCGCCCCACAAAGACACAGGAAAGGAGAAGGCAGCAGCTGGTGGGGTTTAAAGATGGAGATGGAGCCGGAGTTGGAGACAATGGACACTGTCCAAGAGCTCTTGAATCGTTGCTCTGTTGCATTTTTGAATCGCAACTTGGCCGGCGTGTAAATTTACTTGCTCGGATTCAATTCAAAAGCGATTATCACCACTTAGCTGTCAGCGACACGACGCCAAAACTCCAGCGAAACCGAGACCCGCACTCCAAGCTCCCCCAAAATAATACTTTCAAGTCCAAGACCAAGTCCGAATCCGATTCAGAGTCCAATTCCGAGGCCAGGCACTTGGCGGAGCACTTGACAAAGGGCATGGTTATATGCGGAGAGTGTCTACATGTGTATGTAGGTACGTACTTTGCTGGCTCAAATAAAATTTACACTTACAAGTGGCGCTAAAGTCAAGAGCCCTGCATTGCTCCCACTCCCTTGCGTTGATCCCCCTTCTAGTCCCGCAGTCCTGCTGCCCCTGGTGAGGACGTCAGCTGGTCAGACATGTCCAAAAGTGGAAAGGAAAGACGCTTCAAAAAGGGCAGGGGAGTGAAGGAACGGGGGAACGGGTGTGCGGCAAATGTGGTCAAGAGTTTTACAAAGTTCATCATCATGGCCTGGCCTGGGCCTGGGCTAAGCATTTTTCAAGTGCAGCGCCAAAAAGATTTTCAATTTTCAAATATTATATAAGTTGGATGGCAAGGGCTGAGTGGAAAAATCATCATCACTGGTCCCCTAACTGAGGAGGTCTATGAGCTGGCTAAGAAACTTTATAAAGGTAATATTTTGGATGATGGTGAGGAATATCTTCTAATTTAATATATCCATTGAATAAAGGAAGGAAGGAAGAAAAAATACTAGTAAATAAAATATGAAGTATTAAATATTGATTTTTATTCAAATAATATTTATACAGCTCTCTTCCCCCCATTTCCCTCAATACAGGTGACTTTTCAGAGTATCTAACCTTCGTTGTGGTTTAGAAAATCCAATCGCTTCTCTGCACATTCATAAAGTACATAATCATGTTCATGACGTGAACTCAAGTGGGTGTCGGGTGGGAGTTTTGTGTTTGGGGATCGGGTTTGGATGGCAGTTCGTTTGGAATTCTGGTAAGGGTAAAAGCTTAAACCGCTACAAGTATTTAAAAAGCACTTCACACGGACATACACGCGTTCACACAGTTTATATTAAAAGCATATTGAGAGGCCATGCATTGCTTAGTTTCATTAAATCAACAGAACTCCAGAATTTCCTCTGCTTGAAAAGTGAACTTAAAACTTATCGAAGGCAAAACAATGTTATTTATTGGTTAAAAATATAAATATTCTTTAGTTCCAGGATTAATTTTCTTCATTTACAGCTGCCTGACAGAATAAAGTTTCGTCTATTAATAAACCTATACGTTCCAGGCAGATATGTAACTCTTCTCGTAACTCCTCTTTGGGTGGACATTCTTGGGGACATCCACAACCGGAATTTCCTTGGGGAATCGCAGGATCGGGTACGGGTATTATGGGACCACCTGGATTGTATTCACAGGGTTCCTTTGTGTCGGAGGGATCAGGACAAGGATCTTCAGTCGGCTTAGGACAAGGTGGAGAAGTATTATCGGGGCAATCTGTAATGATTTCTGGGGGACAAGGTGTTGTATCCTCAGGACAAGGTGATGTCTCTTCACCACAAGGCGTAGGCTCCTCAGTACAAGGTGTTGTACTCTCAGGACAAGGTGGAGAAATATTATCGGGGCAAGGCGGAGGTGGATAAGAACATTCAGGTAGAGGCCTTGGCCTCGGCGGTAGAGGTCTCTTTGGGGGGCTTATGGGAGGCCTTGGATGTCCAATTATAGGTCTAGGTCTAGGTCTTTCAGGTCTCCTTGCAGGTTTTACCGGTCCTGGTCCTTCCCTATGGGGTGTAGGTGCCTTGTGAGGTTGCTTATGAGGCTGCTGATGACCCTTCCTAACACTTTCCTTATGAGGTTTAATTCCTAAAACCTGCTCAATTACCTCCAAGCAGGCTTCACTGTGCTCCACATATTGTAGGACCAAAAAAGCCACTGGGAAAGGACTCTCTCACATTAATGCTTAAACAATATTTAAAGCTTAACTTACCCACTAAGCAGATAAGAGTTAACTTCATCATATAACGATTTGGGAAACTGTATGCTTTAGCAGCTTCATCTTCATCTTTTATAGGACTGACAATGGCAATTGTGTAAATAATATTAACGCACTTTAGGATAGATTTTAATTATAGACCCTAGACGAGACCAGATCGCTGCTAATTTTAGTCCAAGCAAATATGCAACTGTGTTTGTCCAGGTCGTGGAAATTTTCTCCCCAAGTTCAGGCCGCCAAGATGAACTCTCGTCGTCTGGTTCGTCTGAGCCAAGTCAGTGAGCGCAATCTCAGACCACCGACGAGTAATAAATTCCCATTTTTTATGGCATCAAGAAAATCAAAACAATTTCGTTTGAAAAATTATGTTTTGGAAAAGATGAGGAGAACGAGAATGGCAGTGGGAGCCAGTGAGAAGTTTTGAAGAACTGCCAGACGGGATGACGAGGATGCATCAAGTGGAAGACAAGCATGACGATGTGCGGTGCGTGCCTGGCTCAACTCATCCACAGACTGGGGGATGGGTTAGAATGGGATGCTGGTCTGGTCCAGAGTCTGGTCTTTACGATAATGCCCCGTACGTGGAGGATGCAGCAACTGCCGGCGACTGTTGATTCCTGGAAGGGCTTCGAGCCGAGACGAGATGAGAAAAATTGAAGGCCAAGACCAAGACAAGAACATATAGCCTTCACTTTAGACAAGAAACTTGGCTAACTCAAATCTCTACACAAATATGCATTGTTTATTGGGGAAAATCTATTTCATATATACATAAGCCACGTTTGTTTTATCAAGGATCTAACAGGCTTTCTTCTAAGTTCGTCTTCTCATTCCAGCTATTTCGGCTATAACTGCACAGTCCAGTTTTCTATTGTGAGCTGTAAATGAATGAATAAATATATATTATTAATATTCTTTATTAATTAAATTAATTCAAGCTATACTGAAATTTTAACTTACTTCCACAGGCAATCACCTGAAGATCACAGCGCGTCTGATTCTGCCAAATGTAAGTGCGGCGCACCTTCTCCCGGCAACCATCGTTCATGAATTCTACATTGTTGATGGGATTGTTCAGGCTTCGGACGCATCTGTTGCAGGTTTCCCTTAGCTTCCGGCAATCCGGTGCCTGGCCATTGATAACCACACAGCCGAGGATAAGCAGGAAGCTGGCTATAGTGGCTAGTTTCATTTTGTAGCTTACAAGTTATAGTTATTAATTCGACTGATAAACCTGAAATCAAACCTGAGGTTTATATAAGGTGCAGCAACCAGGAAAGGACAACAGATGCCTTTTGTGAACTCTTAATATCTTTTCTTAAACAGATAAGCAAACAGATCTGTTGCCAATACAGCTGTTTAGTCCCAGATGCTAGGCTAGGGTGACCTATTGTACTACGATGAAATAATATTCAGGGAAAAATATATTCCAGATTAACAGCAGTTCTGACAATTAAAGCTCTCTGTTTCCTTAATCCATTTTTAGGGTATAAATACCAAGGAATAAAGTTCGAATCATTCAGAGTAGATCTCGGTTTCCAACTCAAAAGCTATACTTGCAATGTCGAAACTTGTGTTGGTATTGGGTAAGTTCAACTCAATTTATTCTATATTTAAATTTAAATATATTTTAATAATTTCTAAATATTTCGTTAAGCAATCTGCTGTCTTCTGGTAACCCAGATACTGTCACAGGATGCTGAGAATCGCAGGTTTTGTGATCGCTTAACCCAAGATTGCGTTAGCCAACAGGGCACTGTGGGCACTGCGGACGACACTGTGAATATCTTCAACGATCATTGCCGACGAAACGATCGAACTTGGCAGAGAATAACCCGCTGCCAGCTGGTCCGGGCCTCCTGCATAGGTAAGGATATTTTTTAAAAAATATTTTATGTTCTTTAATCTTAGTTTGTTTAATTTTCAGTGACTATGGTGCGTTGCGATAATGTTACCTGCAAAAATGTGGCTCGTGCCCTGGGGACTTAAGGAGTGTGTACTATTACTATTTTGATATAAAATACAAGCTTGACCTTATAAAATTAAATAAATAAAATAAAAGCAAATATGCATTGTACAAAAAAGGTATAAATTTCTATTAAAAAACTATTTAAGCCAGGTAAAAGTATTTATTTGATGTTTACCCTTTTTGGTTTTACTATACTTCAGTTTTTTTTTTTTTATTTTATAAAATATTCTTTAAAATTCTCAACCAATCAGTCGTCGCATTCCCGCCAATCTGGCTACAGTTTCGCAATCCAATTTCTGGTCGTGATCTGTAAAATTTAAACATAGTTTAAATATAAATTTTTCATAATTATTAATTACCCAAAACTTACTTTCACAGGCAATGATCTGCATATCGCAACGCCTCACATCCCGCCAAACCCATCGGTCCCTCAGTTTTTCTCTGCAATCTCTGTTTATATATTCGAGTTCATTTTTAGGATTCACCAAACGACGGAGACATGAACTACATTGCTCTTTGATCCTTCGACAATCCTGGCGCTGAGCCTCTACTGAATAGCAGCCAAGAAAAAGGATCAATGTAAAAAGGCAAAGCCACTGCATTTTTAAAAACAAACTGATGGCTGATAGGCTTAGTGTCTGGGTATTTATATTCATTATAAATGAGAAAACAAATTTAAAGACAACTGGAGAATAAAATTTAAACAAAGAAGTTATACATTTAAAATGAGAGCAAGGTGTAAAGTCAAGGAAAATGTATTTAAGATTTTATCTTGGCAAAATTAAAGTATATTGAACTTTTTACCTATTACTTTCTTTATTAAAAGAAAAGACAGAAAATAATCTCAATGAAAATGGGTCAAGGAAAGGTAATTTTTAGGATTTTGTGTTTAAAACAGATGACAAATTGACCTTGTACGTATAATTCAGCCTTATAAATAAAATCCCCAATAATAAATTTTATTTCAGTTCAATTTCTCACTTTAATCATAAAATGTGGAAAATTACGCTGTTTGCGGGTAAGGATACTATACTTTAAAATATATTTTCTTACTTCTAGGGTTTATATTTCTTTTTCCTAGTCTTGTGTCTCCTTAATTTGTGGGAAATAGAAGCTGAAACTAGCCGCGAATACTGCAACAGTTTGTATCAAGATTGCCTAAGATTTACGACCAGGTTGGGCCGATATGATGAGACTATAGATTCCTTTAATCGGCATTGTCGGAGGGAGCGTCTAGGAAGATGGAATGATGTGTCGCGATGTGAAATGGAAAAGGCCACCTGTCTGTGTGAGTTGATTATCTTAATAAAATAATTATTTAATTAATTTATATAATTAATAATATTTTATAAATAATTTCAGTGATTTTGCAGCGTTGTGATGACATGTCTTGCAGGAATATTGCCGAAGCACTTGGCTTATAAGCTACACTCATAAAAATATTGTTCTATATTTAAGGAAAAATGCATTAAAAAATATTTTAAAAAGTTTCCATACATTTTTCTCAATTTCATACAGTTACTTACTCTAAAAGTAAAGTAAATGTTTGCTTTTATAAAGGTTTCATAAACTTACTTAAACCTTTATGTATTTATAGCTCCATTGTGTCTCAAGTATACAATAAACTTCCTTAAAACACCTTCATCAAAACAAAAGCTTCACTCGAAATAAGAAACAAGTACTCTTTAATTAAAGTTAAATAAAGGAAACCTACAAACAAGCTTTACTCCATTTAAGCTTTGTAAAATAAAATAAACTCTTCAGTTGAACTCAAGATGCTAAGAATATTGTTGTTGCTGGGTAAGTGGCTTTAACTTAACTTGGCCAAAACTATTTTTAAAGAGTCTCACAAAGTTTGCAGCCTTTTAATTGGAACCGAGTGCAACTATTTTGGAGATCTTTTCAAGTGCAATGATGAGCTGCTTAAATGCCAAGAATCTGAAGTCAGATTGGGAAAGTTTAATGAGATTTCCAATGGTTACAACAGAAATTGCAGTCGGGAAATTGGTGCCAAGTGGAGTAATGTCACGAGCTGTGAACTGGAAGCAGTGAGGTGCTTAAGTAAGTGGAAATATAATAATAATACTCTATGTTTTTAAAACTATTTACATTGTAGTAAACCAGATGAAAGGCTTGACATTAAATTGTGAAAATATTGCTGATATTATGCATTTATGAAATTCTAATTATAATAAATTCTTTTAAGCAACAATGGTAAAATAATATCACTTCGATACAAATATATTTACTCATATTTCTATAAAGATACTTTCACCCCCTTCGAAGTAACCACCCCCAAAAAAGAAGCCTTGGGATTTATTTTCAAGTGGAATATTTTCTTGGCCTTCGGGGCATCTGTTGTCTTCTGTATATTTACCTTCCCATAAATCTCTCCCTCGACAGCAGGAAATATTTATGAGCTAATCATTTTTAATTATCAACGAGCAACAACAAAGCTGGATAAACTTTTGCTGAAAAATCTAATCACATGCTGGAACTGAGAACAGAAATAATTACACCAAGTCACCGCGGGGCAGAGTGCCGAAAAAAACAAAACAAAAAGCTCTCTCAACTAAAATGAAAATGAGAAGGGAAATAAAAATAAAAATCAATTTCAAGGCATTTCCTGGCCACGTTTTGCACGTGCCACGTGCCAAAAAACAACACTAACAAGTTGAGTGGGGGGTTCCCACTACACCGAAAATGGAAGCCAAAATTTCATTACCATTTTTCGGAAGGGGAAGAGACCGCTTTTGCCCTTTGGCAGAGAGTCAATTACGGCAAGGAAGCGCCCAACGATGTCGTCACCCGAAACCCAGTCCCAATCTCAATCCGAGGTTAGAGGATGCTCTCCATAAGTATGTACATAGTTGCTTAATATTTATCTAACGTCGGTAATCAGCCAGCCCCGACATGTGTCCCTGATCTTGATAACAAATAAGGGAAAAGGACGAGTAATCCCGGCAAACAAATCAGAGCAGCCCCAAGATATGTATATCCAATGCGTTTTTAATAAACTGTCAGTTAGTAATAAAATTTTCAGTGAATTTGATTATGATTACAATCGCAGTGATGACAACACGATTGAGATCCCGACACTCCCCCAAAACTTTGCCTTCGTTAGGTGTGTGCGTTCGAGTTATTTTCGAGTCAGGAACTGAGTGTGAAATTTGGCAGCTTGTTACAGTTTTCCGGCACGGGGAAAATTTAGGGGCACTGCAACCATTGACCCTAATCATGTAGCAGCTTGTAAAATGCGAGCGTGAAAAGAAAATTGAAAAGTTAGTTCAACGTCGGGTTTTCCCGTTTATCCTCCCTCCCACCTTCCCCTCTTCACGTTCGTTCAATTTTCTAAAAGGCTGTTGATTTGAGAAATTCCTTAAACTTGTCCGAAAGTCGGTGGGGCTGTAAAAGCCAAAAGTTGTTCAAGGTTTATATATATACTATATGCTAAGATTTTCGGCAAGTTTTCTCAATTCGGGAAATGAGGAAAGCTATTTGAGTTGTGGAAGCTATGAATGAAATGCGGCTGGATTTGTGAGTTTAAGCAGAGAAGAAGCTGTGAAGGAGTTGCCAATAAAAGAGGGGGTTTTGTTATGGCTATGAACAAAAAACAAACAAAAAGAAATCTTTATAAAATTAAAGAAATATAAATATGTATTTATAAAAAGAGTTGTGACCTAATAAATATTTTTAAAATATATTTAGAGTTCAAAAACCATTAAGAATCGATAAAAATTATTCACAAACCCTTTCCCTTCGCTATCATATTTCCTTTTGTTACACCAAAGACCTATTTTCCTGCTCTTTCTTGGAGCTTTAATTTCTTCCAACAAAAGACCTTTAAGAGCGTTAAAAAACACCTTCCTTCCGGAGGATAATCGACAGCACACTCCCCCCCATTGGACAAAAAGGGCAACCACCCACACTGCATCGAAGCCACCCCCTTTTTGGGGTGTTGTTTTGTAAAACACCCCCCACAAAACCCCCCCAAATGGATGGATGGGCACACGTTTTGTTGCAATCCCAATGAGGAAATGCTAATCCGCATGTAATATTCGAAAATGATATGAAAATGCCAAACCAAACAACCACCCACCCGAAGCTGAGCCCCAGTATCCTGGATTTATACCCGGTTCTGTAGAATAGCAACATTACTCAATGTCAGCATCAAAATTGCTTTGGAATTCATGCATTCATTTATCCTGCGAACGCGCAGTATAGAAATTTTCATTTTCGGCTGAGTTTTAATTCGGGGAAAGTCCTTAAATAGCTGAACAGGAACGGGAAGAAGTTTCATGCTGATTAAAAGTGGCAACTGTGTCTGCTGTTACGGTACTTTTTTTTGGGTTTCATATTGCAGCCCAGGGGGAAGTCCTTCTAAAAATGGGGGGTGGTGACTCATCCTGCGCTGCACTTGTCCCTTGACATAAACCCAACAAAAAAAGGGAACAGAAATTTCGTCACAGACGGTGGCGTGAAATTTCGAAACGAATTCTCTAAACTCGCTCATTGTTGTAATTTCTGTAATGCCGAGACAGAGTGCATGGGCATGATGCGGAGGAGGTGGCATGTGGCCAGGAAGTTTGTTTTGTTTAAAATTATTAGAATTCAGTTGCTTGTTCCGCGGGTGGAATTTGAGGTTGAGGGTGGTTGCTGGCCCATTTGGGTGGTTTTTCAATAGCAACACAGCAGCTGGTGCCCTGGCACTTGGCACCGCAATGTGGTCAAAGTGAAGGACCCTTGTTTCGCCTCAGCACTTGTTTTGCTGTACAGGGGAATCCGCCGTGTGTGTGTGTGTTTGCCGGAGATTTTAATTCATTGGAAGGGCAAGCAAAAGCGCAAAAGTCAAACGATTTGCCAACACTCCAACTTCGGACGAGAGGCTGTATATGAGAACTGAGATTTTAAGGATAAGGGGAACATATTGAATGGTGCATAAAACAATATAAAACAGTTGGAAGAACAATAAAGTCTTAAGCCATAAAATGGAAATAATAAAATATACAAGAAATGTAAATATAAAATAATATAGTTACAGAAAAACTACCCTTATAAGGTAAACCAAATTATAATAATAGATATTTTCTAGCTTTTGAAAATATAAAAATTATTATTTTCTCTTCCATAAAGTAGTATAATTTTCTTTAATTTACACTTATTTCTCCATTATTTTTTAAGCATTTTTTTCCCCATTAAAATCCTTCTTAAACTCCAACCCTCAAGACCTTTTCTACTACTACTTGCAGACATGATTCATAAGTAATTGCCACAATATCTGGACGATAGCGAGCAAGCAAACAAAACAAATCCATAAAATTTAGCCGGCTAGACAGATAAATTGAGCAGAAACGCCGCTGAACCCGGCGACGACGACGTGCTCTTGGCTCTGTTGACATGCCACGAAACTGGAAAACAATTAATGTCCAATTTTGATATGTGTGTGAGCTAAGGGCTAATCGAAAGTCTCCATCGACCAGACATGGCAAACACAGTGCAGTTCAGGTAACAACAATGTAATATTTGCCAAGGACAACTGGACCTTGGTCCCAGGATCCCAGCACAAGTGTTTTCGGCGATAACAAAGGTGTTGCACAAGCGCAAGGACCTGGCTAGTCGAGATTTATCTAATGCACTAAGAAAAATATTATAAGAGAAAATGAGATTTTAAAAAGATAAGATAAGATATTTTATAAACAAATTTAAATGTTATTTTTTAGTAACAAAATTCTTATGAAGACATAATAAAACATTTTATAGACAATTTTCTCTACAAACTTTGCTTGGTTTTGAGCACAAAATGAGTGTAAATTATATCTCCCGATTAATCTTCAGAGAGAAAACAAATAACTATAGTTCCAGGATAATTTCCTCATGATGTTATAAATTTTTTACGAGTGCTGGAATAAAATTCCCATCCATGTTGTGTGGGAGCGAGGATTCAGCTCATTAAATGTCAATTTCTAGTCGCCGCCGCACATCAAACGCTGACTTAAGGACATTGCACATATCCCGCTGTGCGCGTGTCCTTTGAATTATCGCCGATACCCGCGCTGTGTGTCTTCGAATCCTGCAGCCAAGGAGTATCCTCTTAGTTCATCTGGCGCGCCTGAGTTATGCGAGCATTGTTTGCCTGGCCATCGCCTCCTTGCCGGTGAATTATTATCCCTTTCGCATATGTTGCTGCTGACTGGCCGGCATTGTCCTTCGTGTATCCTTTCAAATGTCTGTTGCCCGGCCACGCCTCGCTCTTGGGCGTTTTGCAGTTAAACGTCGTGGCTGCAAAGTTTTCGGGGCGTGTTCGCTTCATAAATTGCTTTTTGCTTTCTGTGGAATTTGGTTTTTTTTATTTTCGGCCTTTTTTTTTAGATTTTCTTTGCCTCAAATTTCATAATTATCGGGGCGTGTGAGAGTGTCTATATGCCAGGATCCTGCACTTGTTCCATGAAGAGATACAGAAATCAATTTATTGTTTTTTTTTCTCTCCCCTCTTATTTTTTGGGGTTTTTTGTTTTCCTTTTTGGCCTGGTCTGCGGTCAATGTTCTTGGCCAGGCCAGGCCAGGCAGCCGTTGTGGTCAACCAAGTGTTGGACAGCATTATAAATATTTGAGCTTGCCCTTTGCAGCTTATGACCAGTGGAGAAATTACTGCTGCAGTGCGTTGAATTGCCAAGGAATCTGCAGAGAACTCTGAGCCCGGGATTATATAGTTTCCATTTTCTGGCATAAATCTTTGCAATGAAAAACCAAGATTAAAGTAAAACTTGACCCATTTTCCGCTTAACAAACTTGGATTCTAGGATTCTGCAAGATTACAACAATTAAATGGAAACCTAATATTGGGCAATTCAAGTCCACTTAAAAGTTAAAACGGCCCTTTGTCCTCTTTCTCTCTCTCGATTAGCTGGCATATCCTATCATTATATATCAGCTCGAAGAGAGGCCCTGGCATCTATGAAAATTACACATTTGCCAACTGCTAATTGCAAGTCATAAATTAAACCCTCACCCGGGGGTCTCGAAAAGGACCAAAAGAGGGCTGGATACTGGACACAGGACACTCTGGAGACAGGACACACAGAGAACGCTGATCCTTGGGGCTCTGCACAGCAGATACGGATGTAAGTGAAGTGCGGGACTGTCAAAAACTTTAGATTGCATTAAAATGGCTCATAGGC